CAAGTATATAAGACGTTAATATATAAGTTCAAATCAACAGTTTAATAGCAAATTCGCTAGAATCTAAACATGTCTTTTTAAGCTACTGATTCGTTTTCATCTTAAATTACTTTAATTACTTACGAAGATACCGATCTATTTCAAAATTAAAAGTTCGAAAGCTTTACAACTAATTTCTTTAGCCTAATACTATTAGCAATTATTAAATGTTTTAATTAATATTATATTTAGAACGTTAAAGAGATTGAGACTTTTAATACTTGGTAATCATAAACCTTATAGTATTTTTAATAACAAGAAGCTAATTAAAATCTTTTGCGAATCGATTAAAATAAAAAGAAAACTTTTTTTATATAAATTAAATTCGTTTAAGCAGCTGAGAAATCAACAAGAGAGCTTGTAGTATGCTATAAAAAGTGCGACCGAGCTTTAAAGCATTTGAAGCTAAAAGCTTTTAAAACGAAAGCATTAGCCGATCATTAGAAAACGGACGTTTATAAACGCGTCGTAAATAAGTCAAAACAAAAGCTTCGATAAACTCAATTAAGATCTAAATCTCTTTAACGCAATTTAATACGTTTGTTTTTATTTATAAATTCGATTAATAAATCTAATAAATCTGATTAATAAATCTAATTAATAAATCTAATTAATAAATCTAATTAGTAAATTTGATTAGTAAATCTAATTAGTAAATCTAATTAATAAATCGGATTAGTAAATCTGATTAATAAATAATAAAACTAATATCAAATAAATATATTTATTATAAAAAACGCTTTTACATCAAGACTTAAAATCAGCATTTCGAAAAAGTGTTTTAAATATTATATTATTTACGCGAAGCTCGTTTCGAATAGTTAATAACTCGGATTAGAAATCTCTTTGCGAATTACAAAACTTACATCTTAAGCTCTTTAATGCTTTAATTATTAAGCGAGACCTCGACGATAAGATTCTAAAAATTAATCGCTATCTATTAAACAATTTATTAGCTAATTAAAAACTCAGCATTTCATTAAACTATTAGTCTAGTATTAAGCGCTATTCTTTTATATATATAATCGGAATTGCAATTATAAAAGATTAGCATATAATTCAGCTTATATTTAAATTTATATACGTTAAGTTCAATTATAT